AAACAGTGTGTGAATTGTGAAAACTTGAAGTTGATATAATTCAAGTTTTGGAGAGAAATCCTGAGTCTTGTGAAATCAAGACTACGGTGGAAAGGTTAGAGGCTTGCGAATTCAAGTTCTCGAGTTGTAATCGGATTGTCAAACTCCGTTAAGTTTGACGAAGTTAGTGGAATCTCGGGCACGTTTGCTTCGGGGACTGGATGTAGGCATTAGGCCGAACCAGGATACATCGTGTGTTGCTCCTTCACTTCATCTTTGTGTTCTTGTGGTTGATATACTCCTGCGAATTTTTGTTCTTTCAAAAGTTCTTGATTTTTGAAGAACACCTCTAGTCACCCCCCCCCCTCTAGAGGTGCGTAAGTTGTTCAACAATTGGTATCAGAGTGTGGCTGCATTTCCAAAGCTTTACCGCCGGAAATCTAGATCATGGCCGGAAGAACATTTCAAGCCGGTGTATCCGAAGGACAATCTACTACACGACCTCCATTCTTTGATGGTACAAATAATGCATACTGGAAGGAAAGAATGAGGATATTCATACAATCAAATGACTTCGACTCATGGATGGTAATCAAGCATGGAAACACTACCCCTGCAAATATTGTTGATGGAATTCGTGTTCCCAAGTTGGAATCCGAATATGATGATCAAGACAAGAAGAACGTCATGCAAAATGCCAAAGCCATCAACGATCTTTATTGTGCTGTGAACCCTGATGATTATAGGAAGATATCAAGATGCAAATCCGCCAATGAGATGTGGACTAAACTCGAAGTCACTTATGAAGGTACATCTCAAGTTAAAGATGCTAAAGTTGACATCTTATTGCATGAATATGAATTATTCTCAATGAACGAGAATGAAAGCATTGATAGTTATTTTGAGAGATTCTCTACAATCACCAACAATCTTGACACGCTCGGAAAGTATTACACCGATCATGAGCTTGTCCGGAAAATTCTGCGTTGTATGACTCCTGAGTGGAAATCCGAGGTGAACGCTATAACTGAAGGAAGAGACTACAATGTCTTAACTTATGATACTCTTCGTGGGAAACTACTCACATATGAAACTACTACTCCTCATTTACGTGGTGAAGACAAAAGGAGGAAATCTATAGCATTGAAAGCCACCAAGGAAGTTGTAGAGGAAAATGAAGAAGAAGATGATGAATCACTTAATTTAGAAGATAATCCCGAACTTGCTCTTGTCATCAAACGCTTCAACAAATTTATCAAGAAAAGCTTCAAGCCAAGGAAAGACAATGGCAAGAAAGCTACACCACCTAAATGCTATGAATGTGGAGAGATAGGTCACATCAAGCCTTATTGTCCTAAGTTGAAGCAAGGGAAGGACAAGAAGTTCAAGAAGAAGCAAAAAGCATACATCTCATGGGAGAGTGATCATTCATCTTCCGAAACAAGTGATGAGGACGAAGAAACAGCAAATCTTTGTCTAATGGCTACCGAGGAAGAGGTATCTTCTAATTCTTTTTCAACTCCTTTATCGTCTTCAAGTAATTGTTTTTCATTGGATGAGT